ATCCAAATGAGTGCCTGATATTAAAGCATCTATACAGAAAGCTGCTTACAATGGAATATGCATTAAAGCAAATAGATTCTACCCAATAATAAATTCAATTTCTAATTCATTGAAATTTGTTATTGATTAATATTTGTTCATTGACTGATCTACTGAATTCCCATTTTATCTCTGATTTAATAGTAGTATGTTCAGTCTTTAGAGGTTGTGAGGGAAAGTGAAGGTGTTGTGCTTTGCTAGGCAGGTTTAATGAGGGAAAAAATTATATTATCTTAGCTACTGGATCCCAGTAACCAGCTGTGGTTTTTTCTGTACATTTACCAACAGTGTAAATGTGCCCAAATATATAAATATACTATGTATTTCAATGCACTTGTGAATCTTCATTAGGAAAATAAACTAGATAGCAATTTGCAAGAATAAAGCGCCATAGAAATGCTAAAGACTACCTCTAATAATAATGACAATGTAACTCCCACTGGTTCTATCGGCAGTGTGCACCTGCATTGACTTCACTGAGCTTAGTCAGATGATGTGCAGAAGATATCCTGAACAAGCGAGATTTTAAAATTAGTACCCATTTCATGTTTGTCTGCCTTACCCCAAAAGTGGCATAGTTAAGAACATGAGCTCTGGAATCAGACAGATCTTGGGTTGAATCAACTCTGTCATTTACTGGTTTGTGACCTTAGCAAGATACTTAACCTCTCTGGAACTCACTCACTTTATCTGCAAAAATGGAGATGATAATGGCACCTATCTCCTTCATCAGGTTGTTGTGAGATTTAAATATTATAATGTTATATATTATCATATTTATATACTTAGCTATAATTATTAATTTTAACAGGTAATATAGCAAGTCTGAATTGAAGTCCAGACCAGAAAAGCTCTGGAGATTGGTGATCAGGATGTGACTGAGTGAAAAATTAGAGATGGCAATAGCCAGAGATCTCTGAGATGAGTGAAGATGTGGTCGTAGAACCCCATTACCAGGGTGTTTTGGTCTGGGTTGAAGAAAATCCATCTCAACTTGCGAATGACTCCCGACATCAACTTCCATCCCCAGATGGAATATATTGTGAGCTTTAGGGAGACCCGAGATCAAAGCTTGGCTCAAATCAGCCCCTTACACATTGTGTAATCTTGTCTCAATTTTTTAATCCATAAAAGGAAGATATCAACAGTCACATTTAGGGCTGCTATAAATGTTAAAATGAGGTAATACATGTAAAGTCCTAGTGCCTGACACATAGTAGCAGCCCAGAAGCAGTTGTCTTCAGAAGCAGGTTGAGGACTCAAGGTGGTTTTGTTGTGTTTGTGTTTTGCTTATCTCAATATCCTTAAGGAAGAGAATAAATAATTAAACCCTGTAAATCCTGCAAATGTTTCAGGCAGTCTGTCATTCACCACAGAGGAATTGAACAGCAACAAAGCAGATGTATGTCATAGCTGAAGGGGACCTGACCACTCTCTGTTCCTCTGCTTTTTAAAACAGATTATGCACTCACTCTAAGAGATGCCAGAACAAACCATAAAGACCAAGATAAATCAATACTTTGTAAGAAATTTAAAGCTCATTAAAATGTGTAAGTAGTGTTATATGTAATGAATCTTAAAAGAGCAATCCAGCAGTAATCTTCTAGTCTTTGCTGTCTCTATTTTCTCACCTCCCACCTACTTTTAACTCCCAACACTCTTTGCTGAGGTCACCAGTAATGTCTGCAGTTGTAGCTTATTTAACCCCTTCACCTCTTCCCACTTTCCTGTTAACAATAAAAGCTACCATGTGTCAGGTGCTATTTCCCAGACATTTACTAGAGCAGTGATTCTTAAAGGGGAAGATAGTTTTGCCCCTCCCCCCAAGGGACATTTGACAATGTCTAGAAGCGTTTTTGGTTGTCACAATTTGGGGAGAGGAGTATGCTACTGGCCTCTAGTAGGTAGATGTCAGAGATGCTGCTGAACCATCTACAATGCACAGGATTACCCCCCACAACAAAGAATTATCTAGCCCAAATTGTCCATAGTGCCAAAGCTTTACATATATAATTTCATTTAATCTTCACAATAATCCTGTGCAGTACTTACGATTATTATCACCATTTTGCTGATGAGGAAACCAGCCTATCATTATGGATTACTTACAGAGTGATTATTGAGTTAATGAATTCTCTAGACTCTTGCTTCATCCTACCTGAGACCATTTTACTATCTGTTAGCATATCTCTCAGAGGGAAAAAGCAAGAAGAAAGCCCAGCTCATTCCCGTGTTATATAAGCAACACTGGCTTAAAAAAAAAATCTAAGGAGGGAGGAAGCTGAAACAATTAACTGAGAGGTAGGGAGTATTTTAGCATCTCACTTATCTCTACTTTCATATCTCACATGCACAACCCATTAGAAACAGCCTGGGCAACTTTAGCTAACCCCACCTGCTGTGATAAAGAATACAAGACCTGAGACAGTACAATGTGAAAAAAAAAAAAAATCAGAAAGCCACTCAATTGTGTTTCCAACATCAGGCTCAGAATTGATTTGCAGGATTGAGGGTTTCCCTTCATATAATTAGCCATCGACACTAAGCTGTACTATTTTTAAGCAGCTGTCAAACCTCCTGGCAGAGTAAAAAGTCCAGCAAGATGATAACAAACATCCTAAGGTTTTATACTTCCCTCTTACTCGACAGGTGAGATGAGGCTAAGACATCATTAGACAACTGCAGACCCCAGGAAAGAGGGATTCTGGCCACTGCCTTTCAAGGTGGCCCAGTTGTGAAAGGGAAGTCATCTGAGCCCGACTGCCTTAAAAGTGGAAATATCTTTGAACAATCAGAAAGCATTGTATTTTTCCAAAAAGCTCTTGGCAATGGCAGTACTATCTCCAGGGTAGCAGCTGCCCTTCTCCAAATAATGAGAAAATTATAATTATTATCAAGAATTATTATCATGTTTTAAAATATATTGAGTGCAAACAGTGTCCCAAGATAAAGAACAATTTTTCAAGCAATTCTATGAATGTATTCCAAGTTGGTCACCCCTTTCCCATCATTTGTTCATTTTGACACTTTCATGTTCCAAGCTAAAATGTTTCAAAATGAGGTACAAAATGACAGCCAGTCTCCTAATGGCCAATCTCCTAATCAAAGGAGAGCTACAGATACCAGGATTGAGAACAAATCCTGGCCACCAAGGCAGCCTGTACTTTTGCCAGGGCCTGAAGCAAGAGTTCCCATGGGCACCCATATATACCATGTTTAAATATTTTAAAGTCATAACCAACCAAGCATTGAATAAAATGTTTACTCTTCCTGCCTTGACAAATATACCTTTGAAAAAACCTGGAAGGCCAGGTTTGAATTTAGGATTCCTGGGTACTTAGGAGTTCTATATAAAATGTGACAGTGCAGAAGCTGGATCACCCCACACCTCCACTATCCCACCCCAGGGATCCTGTCCTCTTCTCTCCCCACCTTAGGCTACACAGAAGCTGTTCATCAAGTTCCAAAAAAAAGCCACCACTTGGTCCCAGTGACCCCACACACACATTGCAGTCTTTCCTCAGGGTGACAGATTCAGAATGAGGCCCATAATGCCCCAGAAACAGGCTCTGAGCAGTTTGGATGGAGAATTCTGTGATCCTGGCCCTGGAAGTGTGGTCCAGACGGGGGTGTAGACTCTTAATGGATCTGCTCCTTGTGGCTGTAGGGGGATATAACCTCACCCTGTGGGAAGGGTATAACCAGAAAAGGGTATTTTAGTCTTTCTGGGATGCTGTAACAAAATACCATAACTAGGCAGCTTATAAACAACAGAAATTTACTACTCACAGTTCTGGAGGCTGGGAAGTCCAAGATCAAGGCACCAGCAGATTGTATCTGGTGAGGACCTACCTTCTGGTTCATAGACAGCTGTCTTTTCACTGTGTTCTCACGTGGCAAAAGGGGCTAGCCAGCTCTATGGGGCCTCTCTTGTAGGAAGACTAATCCCATTCAGGAGGGCTCTGTCCTCATGACCTAATCACCTCCCAGTGATCCCTCACTCCTAATACCATCCTATTGGGAGTTAGGACTGCAACATATGAATTTGGAGGGGACACAAACATTCAGACCACAGCAGAGGACCAGAGTGTGGCCCTTTCACAGCACAGAGTTGGGGAAAGGAGTCACTTTTGCTTGGGTTTGGGGGCCACACTGTAAACCACAGGCCTTATATCTTCCCCTAGCCTCCAGAACTGTGAGAGAATGCATTTCCATTCTTTATAAATTACCCAGTCTCGAGTATTCTGTTGTAGCAGCACAAATGGTGGATGGGTGCCATTATTCCCCCCATTTTACATAGGAGGAAACTGGAGCTCAGAGAGGTAGAGTAATGTGCACAAGGTCCTTCAATGGTTCTCGTCCCACTCAGAGTCCAAGCACGGCTCATTCAACAGCCTGCACAACTTCTCCACCTCATGCCGTTCTACTCCACCCCTGCCTCACTTGGCCTCACCCACGCTGGCCTCCCTATCATCCCTTCTCTATGCTGATCCTTCCTGCTGGCACCTGCTGTTCCTGCTGCTTGGACCACTCTCCCACCAGATAACTGCATATCCGCTTCCTTAGCCTCTCCAGGTTTGGACTCAGTTGCTAATTTCCCTGTAAGGGCTTCCTGATTACACGAGTTAAAATTGCACTGACACCCACTTACATACACACAATCCTCACCCACTACTCCCCCTCCATTTATTTTTCTCCAAAATACATATCATCATTGAGCATACCACATCTTTTATTGACCTCGTTTATTATCTGTCTTCTCCTCCAGAGTGGAAGCTTCATGAGGGAGGAATTATTATCTGTTTTGTTCATTGCTGTATCTTCAGCTCTTACAAAGGTGTCTGTTATATAGGAAGTACTAAATAAACATTTGTTGACTCAATAAACCAAAAAAAATGGATCCAAGCAACCAAGATTCAAAGAGTCTGATTTTCCCAATATTGTTTTCTGTTTCCTCACAGGAAACCACTTGGGGTCACGCTCCTTCCTCTGGGCTATGGCGCCTCTGAGCCAGCTGAGTGGCCACCTGAACTACACCTGTGGGACAGAGAATTCCACAGGTGCCAGACAGGCCCACCCACATGCCTACTATGCCCTCTCCTACTGTGCACTCATCCTGGCCATCGTCTTTGGCAACGGCCTGGTGTGCGTGGCTGTGCTGAGGGAGCGGGCCCTGCAGACCACCACCAACTACCTGGTGGTGAGCCTGGCTGTGGCAGACTTGCTGGTGGCCACCTTGGTGATGCCCTGGGTGGTATACCTGGAGGTGAGTGGGCGCTAGGCACATGCTGCCCATAGGACCATGCTTGTCTTTGTCTTCCCTGAGCTCCTGACCTTTGGAGCTCAAAGTCTTCCCCCAGTGGTCCAGTAGCTGAGGAAGGAAAGGGAGCTCCTGTCATTCTCTTTTAATGAGGAAACTGAAGCTCCAGAGGGCAGCCACCATCCGGTCCTCCATCCACATCAGAACCAGGGCCCCGGGAACGATTCTGTTCTCAGGTCTCTAGTATCCTGGGAACTGGACTTGAGAGATGGGATGCTTCCAAAAAAAGGCCTCAAGTTTATTCTTTATGCCAGTCACATCTCAATGACATGGTGGGTTTGGGGAGGCAGCACAGAGGGCGTCTTCGTCAGTGTTCAATGTATGTGGAGTGAGAGTGTGCAGGAGAGATGTGAGGCCAGGAGGAAAGAAGAAATTACATTAAAAACAAAAAAAACACTTTTTTAGTGAATGAGAGGGAGAGGTAGAAAGAATGGTCTGCAAATAAAACAGACCTCTTTTGGTGGTTCGGTTGTCTCCATCTTGGCTTTTCCCTCCTGGGCACCAGTTCTCCATAGTCTCTGCTACCGAAGGAACAAACTAAACCTTCAAATTTATATTTTCCATGCCTCCAATAATACTACAGAGCCTTTGCCAGTCAGATAGTTCAGAAGACCCTGGAGAATAATTCTGGGGAGAAATTTTTCTTAAATTTGAAAGTATTTTCATTTGCAAGTGCAAAACAGGGTCAGGGGGTGATCACAACAAAACATCCATTTGCTAACAAGGAAATCAGGGTGCCTACATCTGTTCAAGACACACATATTCTTACCAAGAAAACATGCAATTATTAAAGAGATTTTTTTAAAAAAATCTTAATATACTATTAATATTTCTCCTCTGCACTGTGTGTCATTCTAAAGAGGTATCCAATGAAGGATCAAAATGATGTCATCAGGCCGGGCGTGGTGGCTCACGCCTGTAATACTAGAACTCTGGGAGGCCGAGGCGGGTGGATCACTCAAGGTCAGGAATTCAAGACCAAGAGCAAGAGCAATGAGCAAGAGCGAGACCCCGTATCTACTAAAAAAATAGAAAGAAATTATCTGGACAACTAAAAATATATATATAGAAAAAATTAGCCGGGCATGGTGGCACATGCCTGTAGTCCCAGCTACTCAGGAGGCTGAGGGAGGAGGATCACTTGAGCCCAGGAGTTTGAGGTTGCTGTGAGCTAGGCTGACGCCACGGCACTCTAGTCCAGGCAACAGAGCCAGACTCTGTCTCAAAAAAAAAAAAAAATGATGCCATGATTAAGAGAAATTAAGACTCATCAAATTAATATCTCGGTTAATATTAATAGTGAAGGTGACAGTTAATTAAGTATGACATATCACGAAAGAGCAAAAACCTTGAACATAGACTGCCTATGCTAGTACCCATACCAAAGAATGACTGAGAACTAAAATTAGACTTATGATCTCAAAGGAGAAAGATAAAGAAAGAAAGAAAATAGAGATAGAAAAGGAAAAGAGGAAAAACAACTAGGCTAATTGGGTTAGATCTAAATGTTAAAGGGAATACTTACTTGGAAAAGAAAATATGTGTTTATTATTCCCAGTTAGGATAACCCTGATGGTAAAGGATCTTGTAATTACCTTTCTGTCAACCCAATTAGGCTAAATCATCCTGAAGTCAGAGGTTATGTCTTTGTTCCTCATTTCCTGTAGTCTAAACACACTACCTGGCACATAACATGTGTTAAATAAATATTTGATGTATCAATGATGAAATGAATCTACCTGTAATGTATGCACTATATGCACAATTCCTGCATCTATATCTACTATTACAGGCAGACGTTTGAGGGGAGGAAAGGGTGAAGTATTTATTTATTTTACATCCAATAATAATGAGATTGAAAAGAAATTAGAAGCATGTAATATTCCTGTTCAGGAGAGGTGCTACAAACTAGTATGTCTTGGTCAATGATTCATAGCACCACCACCATCCCCCTAAAATGTTTCTGTCCATCTCTATACATTACAAAGTTTCTTAAGCCCTCCAGAAGGAGGAATGTCAGAAATGCAGGCAGTGGACCCTAATTTTAATGAGCATTTTCATTCCCTCTAAAATAAAATCAGTCTTTTGGTGTCTGGAACGAAGCCACTCGGGGCATTCTTTGGTTCTCCATTTATGATTACTTCCAGGTCCCTGGTTGAACCATATTGGAAAACCTCCGTACATTCTGGTTTAGAAGATGGATGTTGTGACTTTTCCACCCCAGAAACCCATGGCATCCCCTTCTAGCCACAAATGATGCCCCTAGTACACTGCTGACTGTAGAAGAGCAGCTGAGACTACAGAGAGCCACCAGAAATCTTGCCAAAGGCCTTCATGGAATCTCTGTAGTAAGTGGTATCTATGAGTTTTCTCCCATGAGAAGAGCTTTGGTGGAGCTCTTGATTTCCCCACGTAAAGACCACTATGCCCTCTGTCCCACAGGTTATTTGATATAGGCGTTCAGTAATCAAGAGCATGGTCCAAAAACAATCTGCATTCACACAAAGAGATTTGGGGAAGCAGAGACATTTCTTCACTGGGAAATGGTCTTTGAGGCCTCTTTTTGTGTCTTACCAACTTGCTTCAAGGCCCAGTCAATGCAACTGAATATTTCTGCATCCCTCTCCCCAGCAGTCAGCTAAGGGTCTATCTCAATAGGGGAGAGGATATGACTTAAAGAAGCCATCACTAACAGTTTAGATATTAGAAATTTCTAATTTAGAGTACCAGATCTCCCTATCCCACCCTAGTCTATACTTTCCTTAGTCTTAAATTTTTTCCAGTCTTTTCTTACAGGCAGATGAGGTACCTTAATGAGAGAAAAGAGTACTTTGAGCTTTTAAAATATGGACTATAAATATACAACTCCATGTGTCTCGGGAAGAGCTAAATGTTGCTCTCACTAACTTGTCCTAACAATGGTGCAGTTTGAGTGATGCTCTAGAAATCACGTGCTTATACCTGAGAGCCTCCTTTGGGAAAGGAAAGGGTGCACTGTTGGTCACAGAGACTGATGTAGGCTTAAAGGCCCTCAGGAAGACAGGACACACATGAGAAGAACACTATTTTGGGGGCCAAAATAGTCACCAAATTCATAGCCTCATGTGCTTTGATTTGAATTCATCCATCTTTCTTGAAGGAAGATTGGCTCATTTTGCCAGACGCCAATATGTATGAGTTGGGAATGTTTTGGCTGTAAACATTGGAAACCTTGACTAGTTGTGGCTTAACCAAATTTTACATTTCTCACATAACCAGAATTCTGGAGGAAGGGGATTGTTGTTGTTGGTTCAGCCACCTCATGGTGTCAACTCGTACCAGACTTTTCCATCCTTCCTCTTCATCATCCTTGGCAAGCTGGCCTACTTCTTCATGCTACTCACACATGGCTGCCACAGCCCCTACCATCAAGACAGTATTCAAAATTGGATGGATGGGCACTTCAGAAAGAGAGAGAGAAAGCCCTTTCCCTGGAGTAGCTTAAGCATCTTTCTAAGGAACTTCATTTAAGCCTAGTTGGCCAGAACTTAATCATCAGGCCACCTTTAGCTGTAAAGAAGAAAGAAAGAAAGAAAGAAAGGGGGAAGAAGGAAGGGAAGAAGGAAGGAAAGAAGGAAGGAAGAAAGAAAGAAAGAAAGAAAGAAAGAAAGAAAGAAAGAAAGAAAGAAAGAAAGAAAGAAAGAAAGAAAAAATGTGTGTTTTATTTAAAAAATATGTGAAGGTAGGAAATTACTGTGAGATAGTCAATACAATGTCACAAAGCATTACCTCTGTTGGAATTCGCTGGAATGGATGTCATTTCAACACAGGGTCATGCTATGAGAAAGACTCAGAACTGGGAGTCAGAAGACACGGAATTAAGTGAATAAAATGGAAGTGACAACAACACTTTCCATGTTGGGCTGATGTTAGGCTCAACTGTCATCAGCTAAGAGAGTACTGTGATAACTAAAAAGTGTGATCTATAAATGTCTCCTTGAGTCACTTTTAATTGTAAGTTAAAGAACAGTTAATTCCAACTGGCTTAAATAACAAGCAGAATGCATTGGCTTTCACACCAGGAACTTTAAAAGTTCTGTGTTAGGGTGGACTTCAGGCACAGTTTGATCTGTGAGGCTCCAGCTCCTTTTCTCTATAATTCTGTCAGCTCTGCTTTCTTCAATATACAGTTGGCTCTCATTGGTATTATTCTCATTATTAGGGCACACCGGAGCCTGCACGTGGGGACTTACAGGAGCCAGTCACTGACCCATTTCAGTATTCTCTGTCCTCAAGCCTAGCAAAGAAGTTCAGGACAAAAACCATGCAGGTGACCTGACAGCAGGTTATATTTCACAGGGCTCCTGGTTTGACTGTCTCTTTAATTCAGTTTGCAGTATTTTCTCAAAAACTCTTTTCTGTGCCGCACCAAGTAGTTCTATCTCAGATTCCCTCTCAAGTTTTTAATTTCCTGCTTTACAGGCTGCATGCTGGAGCTTCCTCTCCAAGCACATTTTGTCCCACTCGGTTAAGCGCCTTTTGTGAAGTCTAATGCACTTATATCAGGACAGAAAGGCAGTGCCAGCAGCCAGAGGGTCATTTGGAATACTAAATGCAGAGGACTTGGGTCCCAGTATGGACAGGAGAAAAGACTCGAGAGTTAAGAAATGTAGACAAGCAAAATAGAACAGGGGGGTTCAGGCAGGGAAATGCACCACAGGAAAAGTGATCGAGGTCAGACAGTGATGAAAGGAAAGAACGGTAATATTTTGGGGGAGGAAGAATCCTTGGGTTTTGTAATGATATTGATTATTAAAAAAGAAATAAGTTTTTTTAAAGGAGAGTTTTCTCATGGCTCAAAAAAATCCCAGATGATAGCAATTTAAGACCTCCCTATTGTGAAATAAAAACGAGAGATTCTCACAATCTCGTCACCAAACTCTGGACTTTGATAAAAATCATAGGCT